CCTGCCAAATCCATGCTAATCTAAAGGCCACAGGAGCTGCTGTTTCAAATTTCATTCGGGAATACATTGTGTGTAGGTTCGGAATCCCATACAAGATGATCACCGACAATGGCACACCTTTTGTTAACAAGCAAGTAGGTTCAACCCTTAGTGGGTACGATATCAAGCATCGTCGCTCTACGCCTTATTACCCACAGGGAAACGGTCAAGCAGAAGCTACCAATAAGACGATATTGAGGATTCTAAGCAAGATGGTATATGAGTATCAAGGAGGCTGGAGTGTTCACCTGCCGGATGCTTTGTGGGCTTATCGCACCTCACCAAGGAGCGCTACAGGTTTTTCACCTTACTCACTTGTGTATGGATCTAAGGCTATTTCACCCGTGGAAATCACCATCCCGACAGCCAGGATAGCAGCTGTCAATGATCTTGAATGGGATGCAAAGACATGCTCATATTGGCGTTTGCTAGATCTCGAAGCAGTTGATGATAAAAGGATGGAAGCTGAAAGAAGGATGGCACTCTACAACAAGATTGTTGCCCAAGCCTAAGCAAGGAGATCTCGTGCTAAAAGTCGTTGAACATGTGAGAAGGCAAATGTCAGGACCTTCCAAATTTTCCCCACAATGGGAGGGTCCATTCGCAGTCAATGAGGTACATAGCAGCGGTTATTATCGCTTGATCTCTATCAAGGAAGGCATGCTAACGGACCCCATCAATGGAAAATGGCTCAAGCCCTACTACTGCTAAGTAGGCATAATATCTTATTTTCATGTTATTGCATTTCCTTTTATCTAAAAAATGTTGTCTCCTTCTATATGCTCTTTGTTTTGAAAAGCTTTTGTATCATCATGGTAGCATGGGGTTTGAAATGAAAATGAAGGAGTATTTTGAAAAAAAAAATAAAAAATTGTCTCTAAAAGTTTGCCCTTCTTCGTACCTCGAATTTCTTTTTGAACATGCGTTTACAATTACATATAAATATACGGCGGATATCCAAAAAAAATGGAGGAAAATATTACTTAGCAAAAGACATGCCAAGCAAAGCCATTTGAATGGGATCCTAGGTCTGTAGCAGCTTTCACGCTTGGGCAAAATGAAAAGGAACAAGCCAAGCTAAGCACCCGCAAAAGGAAGCTAGCATGCTCATAAGGTCCGAGAACCTTCAAAGAAAATAGGCAGTGTCAAAGGGCCATCCTAACAAAATTTTGGCAACAACCACCATGCTTCAAAAGGATACCCGATCTAAAATTCAAGCAAAGGATTCTACCAACCAGGCATTTTATACATGTCGAATAAGAGCTACAATGTGTTTCTGGCAAAAGAAAAAAAAAAGGGGAACATAGGTTCCGGCAGCTGGAACACAACAGCACTGAAATGCCAAGTTGCCACGGTACAAGTTTTACAACACAAGTCAAAATCAAGCTATACATGCTAAGAAGTAATGTGTGCTTCAATCTCGAACGAAACTCTAGAATGTGTCAAGCTAGTCAATCCTACACCAAGCAAAATGCGACCTGCAAAACAGAACAGCAAAAAAAAAGGGAATGTCAGGAGAAATCAGAGTAACATTGAACATATGTAGAATGAGGAAACATGAGGGAAGGACGAAAAGTCACGAGCCTCAAAGTACCACCAAGGATGGCTAGAAGGGAACGGAGGAGGCCCCGTGAGAAGATCTTGTCACTGCCTTCATCACGGAGTCAGCACTGTCGGAAGAGACACCTTGGGCAGAAAGGAGGCCATGCAATTCCCTGCGCTGGTTTTCCAATTCGTGCTGCTTGAAGACCAAAGCCTCTGCTGCTGCCCTTATTTCATCAGGGCTGGGATTTGACTTCATGTTATGAACAGCCTGTGCCCCAAATGCAGCACGTGCCAAACCCTTCACCAGGTTCAGAAGAGACTCTGCTCGAAAGCCCAGAGTCATAGCCTCGCAAACTGCATCCCGCCAGCAGAGGAGCCTGTGATCAGTAATGTCCAGCAGCTGCACGGTATCCATCCCATGGAGCACTAAGCCGAGGGCCCGGAAAGCAGCACAACGCGAGAATGAAGAAGTAATACCAGTCATGTCCATGAAATCCCCGTACTTGTCCAGAAATTTCTTCAAAGCCGCGACTGTCTCGGGATAAACAAGAATTCCCCGGAAGAGTGCGTAACCATTAAACTGATGGTAGAGCGGCAGGAGTTCATCTGTGGATCGAAGGACCTGAGCGCCGCTGTCAAAGAAAGCCATGAAGGCAGTAAATGATTCCTCCCACTGCAGCCAAGACATGCTGCGAGGGTGTTCTGCAGCAGCATTCCCAGCGACGGTAATGATAGCCTGGGCGTTTTCAGCAGTGCTCACATTGTCACATTGAACTGCTGGAAGAAGTGCTAGGGGACTAGGCCCTGTCGCCCGGAGAAGTGGTTGAACGTGAGATGGAACGGGCAGGGTTGTATGGACGACAAAGGTGTTGCTCTGAAAGGCTGCTGGAAAGGCTGGCAAAATGGCAGGATCAAGGTCCCTCTGGAGAAAATGCTGGAAGATAGGTGGTAAAGGGTTGGTAACTTGGAGCGTAAGCATTTCATCCCGAGAATCCGTTGGTG